TATATGTTTTTTTACATGTTGCATCAATACATCATATTGTTTGTCATTTAACGGATACATTGATCCATATCGAGGTATTGTTACACCCCTACTGTTGTTTGCTAATCAGTTATATTAACATCAAAGCTGTGCAATATATAAAAATATATAAAATATGTAAAGTTGTACCAGAGCTGAATTTGTGTATATTATACAAACAGAATGAAGTACCAGGGATTGTGTCCACCTGTACCGCGCACTGAGGAAGACTTCGACCCTGGTGCGAAGTTCCACATCCCAGCTAATGTGCCCTACGTCAGGTACACAACAAAACAATATATCACTAATGTGGAAAGATCTTGCATCTATCATGTTACACAACTCGTGTAATCAAATAAGCCTTTGGATTGACCGTTTATTTGGTTTGGCTCCAAAAGGTACTTTGTGAGTTTTGTAATCCAGTTCCAGTTCCACAAAGCCCTGTGTGAAGCAGCCGGTCAGCCAGCTCCACTCCACAACTGTGACATCTACCAGTCCAAAGAAGCAGGGAAACTCCTGGGGTCAGTAAATGACTGAGAACTGTTTCCAGTTTTTACAAGCACTGGGAGCAATAAAGTAGTAAGATTTTATAGTCTCATCATTTTTGCTCGCGAGTAAAAGATCTCTACTCCCTCCTCCTCAGTGATGTGATGAAGATGGGCTTCAGTAAACCCTGGCCCGAAGCCATGACTTTGATTACTGGCCAGCCCAAAATGTCAGTCCAGCCTCTGATGGAGTATTTCCAACCGCTCATCGAGTGGCTTGAAGAGGAGAACAAAAAGAACGGTGACGTCCTGGGATGGCCAGAGTACGATTGGACGCCTTACAAAAGTAAGCTTGGAGTTCATGAATCGACACTCAAATGTTGGTTTACCACTCAATTTCCTGTGTTTTACTGAAACATAAATGTACTTCAGCTGGGAAACTTGGATGGATTTCAGTCAAATTAATTGGAGCAGAGTAAAATTTGAATGTTAGTAAACCAATCCCAACGACTTTCCAAGAAGCTCCAACTCAATTGTAAACCACTGGATTTGGGTGATTATTCAAATACGGCAAGTTTCTTTTCTGGAAATTTTTTTCCCAGAATATTCTATATATATACAGTGGGTACGGAAAGTATTCAGACCCCCTTAAATTTTTCACTCTTTGTTCCTTACCCATACTTTTTAACTTCTCTTCTATAGTTTATTTATAACATTTATATAAAACATTTATAAAAAGATGTCATAACACAGAGATCAAATTTTCAATTAACGTATAAACATAAGTATATGTTTATGTGCAATTTTATTATTTATAACAGAATCTCTGCCCCCAATACTGCTGTCATTACTTTCATCTCACCAATAATTTGTATAATATAATATAAATTCATAAAATACATTTGTAAAAAATATGTCTTTAAGAACTTCATAAGGATCACATTTTCACTTAAACGTGGTACTGTATATGTACAATTTTATTATTTATAACAACAGAATCTGTCCCCGTATTGCTGTCATTACCATCACACAAGACTTTGTATAATAATATAAAATACAATTTAAAAAAACTTAATAAAGAGTTTTCAACCAACTTACTGTATATGTACAATTTGTGATATTTATAAAATAATCTGTCCCCAATACTGATCACACCAAGAATTTGAGTATCATTCCATTCTGTTCTATTCTACATATGATGGAAATGACAAGTGACAGGGTCAGAAATGTCATTAATATTAAGATTTTAAACTTCATTTGAGGTTTACTATAGTGTATATATAAGGTTAATTATAGTATATATTTATTCAGAAACAATCTTTTTTTCCCCTGTAATTCGTAGTTACTTGTCTGCTAAGTAACATCATGTGTTAACATGCACAAAAGTAAAACTACCATCAATAACAAAAATCCAGACCATAGCACTTTTTAACACTAGTACAAGTGCTCACACACTTCTCACCTGTTTGTTTCAGTCGCTTCAGTGATGGAAGAGAAGCCGAAAGCAGTCAGTTTCCTGGGTTTGAGTGTGGATGAGGCAGGTGCTGTGGCGGGACAGTGGATTCTCCTGGTTCTGAGCATCGTCTTCCTGCTTGGCATCATCTATTTAGTCTACAGATACAGGAAGACTAAACGCTTACAGGACAAATCAATGTCTCAGATGGAGCTCAAGTAAAATCCTTTAAATAGGAATACATTCTATTCTTACCATGCAGTCATTACTTTTTGACAAAAACCACCTCTTTTTGAATGTATATTTATAAGACTAAACGCTTACAAGACAAATCGATGTCTCAGATGGAGCTTAAGTAAAGGAACACATTCTATTCTTACCATGCAGTCATTACTTTTTGACAAAAACCACCTCTTTTTGAATGTATATTTATTATTTTTGGTCAAATTTGTTTGACTATGCAATGAAAGGTAACTTGTAATTTATTTGTAAAATTTAAATGTTTGACTGCTGTTTTCAATTATTTGTATAGTCTTAGCTGTATGCATTTCTGATTGATTTTACTGGTAAACCTTTATAGAATATAAAGAATAATACAGACGTTCTGGCTTTGTGTATTGTCTGAGTGCAGGAACATTTCATAAAAATGAGCCTTCAATTAAAAAAAAAAAAATTTTATCTTAAAAAAAAGACCTTACAGACCATCATGTTTTTTTTTCTGTGTGGACATACAGTATATTTTCTCAACTCTATACCCAGGTCTGAGGTATACAAGCATTTGCTCAGAACGTAATGAACTCTAGTGTTTCAGTATCCAACTCCCCTCTAAAAACTAAACGAGTCAACCAATGTGGGCTTCTTTCTGACAATCCACTCCAATCCACCACTTGATTATATTAAACTTCACTAAAATATAAAACTTCAAGCAATTAACCATGTGATCATTTTCAGTATTCCCGAACGTGGACTGATCTGAGCTGAACTGAATTGAAATCTGCAACAGTCCTTGTGGCTTGGCAGTACATGTACATCTTTTTAATAGAAAATATAGCATTTGTTCAAGCATAAAAGCAACATTCTTCACTAGTTTCTAGTAGCTGCTGTTCTGCAAAAAAGAGTAAACACAATACTATTTGAGTAGACGGTAAAACAAAAATAAAGAATGAAAATGTGAAATAGACAAGAACAGAGTGACTTGCGTCAAATTACACCACAAAATCATACAAAAAAATCAATATTGAGTCGTCAAACAATAGGTGAAGTTTGGGTCAGGACTATATATTGACTGCATCAGCTTTGATTTTTGCTCATACAATGCGAATGTTTTTTTTTCCGCATTGCAGTAATGAGAATTTAATTGTGCTTAATTGTTGTAAAATTGCTTCACAATGTAAAAAAAGTCCTAAATTAAACTGTTATTCAAACTGTTTATATATATATATATATATATATAGAGAGAGAGAGAGAGAGAGAGAGAGAGAGAGAGAGATTCACCTTACTTTTTGACAAAAACCACCTCTTTTTGAATGTATATTTATTATTTTTGGTCAAATTTGTTTGACTATGCAATGAAAGGTAACTTGTAATTTATTTGTAAAATTTAAATGTTTGACTGCTGTTTTCAATTATTTGTATAGTCTTAGCTGTATGCATTTCTGATTGATTTTACTGGTAAACCTTTATAGAATATAAAGAATAATACAGACGTTCTGGCTTTGTGTATTGTCTGAGTGCAGGAACATTTCATAAAAATGAGCCTTCAATTAAAAAAAAAAAAATTTTATCTTAAAAAAAAGACCTTACAGACCATCATGTTTTTTTTTCTGTGTGGACATACAGTATATTTTCTCAACTCTATACCCAGGTCTGAGGTATACAAGCATTTGCTCAGAACGTAATGAACTCTAGTGTTTCAGTATCCAACTCCCCTCTAAAAACTAAACGAGTCAACCAATGTGGGCTTCTTTCTGACAATCCACTCCAATCCACCACTTGATTATATTAAACTTCACTAAAATATAAAACTTCAAGCAATTAACCATGTGATCATTTTCAGTATTCCCGAACGTGGACTGATCTGAGCTGAACTGAATTGAAATCTGCAACAGTCCTTGTGGCTTGGCAGTACATGTACATCTTTTTAATAGAAAATATAGCATTTGTTCAAGCATAAAAGCAACATTCTTCACTAGTTTCTAGTAGCTGCTGTTCTGCAAAAAAGAGTAAACACAATACTATTTGAGTAGACGGTAAAACAAAAATAAAGAATGAAAATGTGAAATAGACAAGAACAGAGTGACTTGCGTCAAATTACACCACAAAATCATACAAAAAAATCAATATTGAGTCGTCAAACAATAGGTGAAGTTTGGGTCAGGACTATATATTGACTGCATCAGCTTTGATTTTTGCTCATACAATGCGAATGTTTTTTTTTCCGCATTGCAGTAATGAGAATTTAATTGTGCTTAATTGTTGTAAAATTGCTTCACAATGTAAAAAAAGTCCTAAATTAAACTGTTATTCAAACTGTTTATATATATATATATATATATATAGAGAGAGAGAGAGAGAGAGAGAGAGAGCGAGAGAGATTCACCCAACTAATGCTGACAGGAACATGATGGTTTGGGCAAACATTTTATACACTTAAACACTGTAGTCTTCCTCCATGGGAGGAAGTAGCTGGAAAAAAAATGGAGCAGTTCTTATGCAGTGTTACAAAATAAGCGTCCAAAGACAAAGCAACTGGAACTTGAAAATCGAGTATTTCCTCAGTGCTGTTTGATCAGAACTGGTTTCAAATCAGTTATAGCATGATGGGAAAGATCTCCTTATCTCAATGAGTAAAATGACCCAAGGCTCTGGAAAGGGGAACTATTATAGTGACATTAAAAAAATATTACAATGGAATGAAATTTAAAATGCAATGAAACACACAAAGCAAGATTTAAAGATTTCAAACTAGGAAAATAAATCAGTTGCTCATTACTAAGTCAAGGACGTCCCAGACAATACTCTGGCTTCGTTGAAAGCGGTTTAATGGTCTACAAACCACGATATTGCACACAGACCAACAAACATTTCGAAACGTTCTCACTGCGTGATTGGCGGCTCCAAACGCCAGTGTCTGCTGAGTTGAGACGGGGTTAATAAAAGACATCCTCCAATCATCACGCTCCCCAGGCTCTGGACGGAGAGAGGTGAAGAGGTCAGTAGTAATATTCATGCATTTCTGTCCAGTTGGTGACCCAGAGTTTCTTGCTCAGTTCTTGCTCGGGCTGAAAGGCCAAGTTATAGCGTTCCTCTTTGCGTACTTTCACTCCATGGTACTTTGGCATTATCCTGTAGTAAACGGTCCTTTTGAAGAAACCGCACTGCTCGAGACAGACAGAGAATCAAAGAAACGTTTCAGGTAAGAGTGACGGATATGCTTTGTAATGAAAATGTAAAAGTAAATAAAAGTAATTAGATTTTAAATGTTAGCATTTATTCACCCTCAAGACAAGCCTGTATTATTTCTTCTTTCGCAAAAAGCTCCATAAAAGCATCGTAAAAGAAGTTCATATGACTTGTGCTATATATTTCAAGTCTTCTGAAGCCATTTGATACATTTTACAGCTAGATTTTCTCATGTTGTTTTTTCAAACTTGCTGCATTGTGATTGGTCATGTGACGAATGAGAAAAGCTGTTTACTAGCAAATTTTATGATTCTTTTATGATGCTTTTTGACATTTTTGGAGCTTTGCAGTATCAATCTAAATCCACTTTTCTTGAAAAACAGCAGCATGGAAATCTGTTCTTCTCCGGATCTGTTCTTCATGGAAACAGATCCGGAGAGATTTAGCATTACAACACTTGCTCACAGTGAATGGGTGCCGTCAGAAAGAAACAAATCACGTTTTAACATTAAACTGTCGTTTATAATGTATAATAATGCTTCCTCCAGTGAAAAAGTCCATCCCCTGTTGTCCTCTCACATCAAAATCCACTAACATATTTGTTCTGGCTTTTAAACATTGCTTGATCTCTGCATATTTCTCTCCTGATTCAGAGAAATGGCTTTTTCACTGGATAAAGCAATATTATGGATAGAGGATTCATGTTTTAGCCAGTTTGAAGTGGATGGATTTGTTTATTACAAACACGCAGTCTTTCACTAAACGTTAATTGATGGACTCAATTCATGTGGATTATTGTGATGTTTTTATCAGCTGTTTGTACACTCATTCTGACGGCACCCATTCACTGCAGAGGATCCATTGGTGAGCAAGTGATGTAATGCTAAATTTCTCCAAACCTGATAAAGAAACAAACTCACCTACATCTTGGATGGCCTGAGGGTGAGTAAATGTCGGGCAAATTTTCATTTTTTGGTGAACTATTCCTTAAAGCACTGTATAAATGCATAGACATTATTAAAGAATGGGGAAAAAACTGAATCTTCATGCTTCAATTAGGATTCATTGAAATTAGTGTACACAAAAAATGTAAAAATATTTAATTAGTGGAAAAAGTGCATTGAGATTCCCATTTGAGCTCTACGTCTCTGGGAATATTAAGGGTTATTGAGCAAGACAGAGAGAATGAGAAATGAAAAGATTGTTATTTGACTCTGGCAGGGAAGGAATTACGGAGGTAAGCCAGAAAAAAGATTTGTGAAGTGAAAAGTCCGAAAAAGCGTATGGTAACTAGAGAGATCTCCAGGGTCTGCTTTACCGAAGGGCCCTAACAGTGCTGCCATAGCGTAGGCTCAGTATTCCTCCGTCAGCCTCTCTGTCTCAGAGGGCTGGATCTTTATTTCTGCTTTCTGGGATTTGGCCTCATACATCTCCCTCCTGCTGGCCCGTCGGAAGAAACCGCACTGTGGAGGAGGGGCGGAGCCCAAGGCGGGACATTTATTACTGATTTAAATAACAAGAGGCAGTGACATTTCACATCAAGGGTGCACTGGGTCAAATTGAATTTCATGGACTGCAAGCATGTGGTTTAAATCTGTCCTTTCATTTGCGTTTATTAACCATCCCTGGTTAAGTTATAGTTTATAAATAAATGTTTTAGGAAAAGTGCCTAAAAGTGGGTGGTGTAACCAAAATCCAATATCACGCTATGAGTAATTTTATGTAATGGTACTATTCAAAAGTTTGGGGTTAGAATTATTTTTTTTTATTCAGCAAGAATACGTTCAAATCAAAAGTGACAAAAGATTTCCATTAAAAAAAAAAAATGCTGTTCTTTTGAACATTGTTCATCAAATAATCCTGAAATTATTTTTTGGAGCAACAAATCAGCAAATTAGAATTATTTCTGAATGATCACGTGACACTGAAGACTGGAGTAATGATGCTGATAATTCAGCTTTGCATCACAGGAATAAACTTAATCTTTTCATTTCGTTTCATTATTTTCTCTTTTGTTTGGATGGATGCAAACCACAACATAAAATTATTTATAACAAAAAAATCTGGCATCAGTGAAAAAACAAAAACAAAGCTTAACCCAACATTATGCAACACTTGACTTAAAAACAAAATAAAACCAATATTATAAAATGTTGAACGTAAAATAGCTGATGTATACACACGTGACCCCACATCAGTTGAATTTGATGGTAAACTTTAATATAATAAATAACTGGGACACGTCCTGATCTGTATCTGCACATACATGTGTACTACCGTATGCTGGTCTAGCAGAATTTCTCAGGTGACACATTTCTACTATCGTAACACTTCCCAGCCCAATTGTGACCTGGATTTCAGATCATTCTAAATGATGGGCAAACTTTTTTGAAAAGTTAGAATTTTGATCTTGATGGGATGTTGACCAAATATAAAAGCGCAAATACCTTCCACAGAATGAGACTGATGATGCCTAATAACAGTATCCCTGCAACCGCTGCAACAATGATGATCCAGAGAGGAACTTCATACGGCGTCTCCTCTCCCAGCACTGGATCAATGTTTACTGAAAACTACAGACAATTCAATCAGATCAAACACCATCAGCTCCTTCATGTCAAAATTAATAAGCAATGACTTATATTTTGCACTGCATTTTACAGTTATGAAAATGGTTTCAGAAGTAAAGTTATTTTTTTATACGCTTACACAGC